GTGTATAAAATATCTTCTTATTAAACTGTATGGACACTGACAAAGTTATCAATGCTTCGGTTTGGATGTAGGGACCCTTATTATGCTACCGCGTAAGTGTGGGGCTATTTTGAGCCTGGTTAGTGGTAATAACAAGCGATTTTTATTTTTCATTACTCTATGCCCCATATACAAGCGTTATACTAGCGTTATAGGCTAAACTGTTTTTAGAGATAAAACTATTTACATTCGGCAATCATGAAAACAAATCTCAGATAACGGTTGACTAGGTAACAATGTTTAATTAGACCAAAGGTATATTTTGCGCCGGAGTTCTCCTTTAAGTGTCGCAACCCCCCCTTTTTTTTAATAAACATGAAAATTCACAATCCGAACTTAAATGTTTGTAATTCAAGAATGCTTTGGAATATAGATGTATGAATATACTTATATTCTAATAATATAGAATATAATTTGGTTTAAAGAAGACATTTGGCAGATTTTTGTAGAAGTTAAATAAATTAAGAACATGAAACAGAAAAAAAAACAATGAAAATTTAAAAATGTAATTATTCATATTTTATTTTTTATTTTTTCAAAACCTGGTGGACTCTAAAACTCTGAGCTTTACCAAACTTTTTCACTAGGTAACAACCAGACTCCATTACTGCCCATATAAAAGCGCCTCCATTTCCATAGGCGATGTATTCAGACTCCGAGTGATTATCTGAACCTTTATTTCCACAATTTTCATACAATTTATGAAGTAGTCATCATATTCAGAAGTAGTAAGGGACATTTGGCAGATTTTGATATGAATTCCTCCTCAATAATTACATAAAAAGAACACACATGTGCGTTATAGCTAGCATGTTCATGCCACGATACGAATACAAAAAGTGGAGAGGAGGACTCAAGTGCAGGGAATGGAAATTTATTAATAAATGAAAACAAAACACAAAGCAAAAACCCACAAGGGGGGAAACATAATAAATTAAAGCTGCAAGCAGCGATGGGCGGGCCCTCGCACCTGTAGCGCGTTGGGGTGTGAGGCGGCCGCGTTGCATATTCTGCGGCTCAGCCGGTGCGCCTGTGAATTTGGTTCGCTGCTTCGTTAAAGGTCACTTTCTGTTCCCAGCAGGTGGCGCTATGACTTAGGGTGAATGCGGGCATGTAGATTTGTTCAGGGCGGAACTCTTGTCAAATGTGTCAAATTTCATTCAGATCTGGGTATTTACAGCCAAGTTACTACAACTTCCTGTTTCATGGCGAATCATCGACGCCACTGACATGCCCATCGATGAAAACGCGCAGAGAGCACAACTTTACATCGTCAATGCCTTTAGAGGGCACAGCATAAATTTGAAGTCGATCCGACTAAATCCCTAGGAGGAGTTCGTTAAAGTACGGAGTGTGTAAATCGTCCCAAAATGGGCGCCAAATTCAAAATGGCGGACTTCCTGTTGAGTTTAGGGTATGGGTTCTAGAGGCTTTTTTGTACGTCTGGTCATGGTAGATGTACCACAGAAATTTCGTACATGTCGGTCAAACATGCAACGGGGGCTGCTTCGTTAAAAGTCACTTCCTCTTGCCACTAGGTGGCGCTATGAATGTGGGTGAATGTCGGCATATAGATTTGTTCAGGGCGGGACTCTTGTCAAATGTGTAAAATTTGGTGCAAATCTGGGCATTTACAGCCAAGTTACTACAACTTCCTGTTTCATGGCGAATCATCGACGCCACGGACACGCCCATCGACGAAAACGCGCAGATAGCACAACTTTACATCGTCAATGCCTTTAGAAGGTACAGCAGAAATTTGAAGTTGATCCGACTAAATCCCTAGGAGGAGTTCGTTAAAGTACGGAGTGTGTAAATCGTCCCAAATCGGTCGCCAAATTCAAAATGGCGGACTTCCTGTCGAGTTTAGGGTATGGGTTCTTCAGGCTTTTTTGTGCGTCTGGTCATGGTAGATGTAGCACAGAAATTTCGTACATGTCGGTCAAACAAGCGGCGGGGGCTGCTTCGTTAAAGGTCACTTCCTGTTGCCAGCAGGTGGCGCTATGACTGTGGGTGAATGTCGGCATGTAGATTTGTTCAGGGCGTGACTCTTGTCAAATGTGTAAAATTTCGTGCAGATCTGGGCATTTACAGCCAAGTTAGTACAACTTCCTGTTTCATGGCGAATCTTCGACGCCACGGACACGCCCATCGACGAAAACGCGCAGATAGCACAACTTTACATCGTCAATGCCTTTAGAAGGCACAGCAGAAATTTTAAGTCGATCCGACTAAATCCCTAGGAGGAGTTCGTTAAAGTACGGAGTCTGTAAATCGTCCAAAAATGGCCGCCAAATTCAAAATGGCGGACCTCCTGTCGAGTTTAGGGTATGGGTTCTTGAGGCTTTTTTGTGCGTCTTGATATGATACACGTCCCCACCAAATTTCGTGCATGTAGGTTGAACGTGGACGAGGGGCTAATTTTTTCCAATTTTCTAGGTGGCGCTAGCGTGCCATTTTGCCCCGCCCATCTGCGAAACCCACAAAATACGAAATTTTTCACCAGTCCTGACATGCGTGCCAAATTTGGTGAGTTTTTGAGCATGTTGCGGCCCCGAAAATGGCACTTACTTTGCAGAAAAAAGAAAGAAAAAAAAAAAAAAAAAAAAATTAAAGCTGCAAGCAGCGATGGGCGGGCCCTCGCACCTGTAGCATGTCGGGGTGTGAGGCGGCCGCGTTTCATTTTTCTGCAGCTCAGCCAGTGCGGCTGTGCATTTGCCACACTGCTTCGTTAAAGGCCACTTCCTGTTGCCAGCAGGTGGCGCTATGACTGTGGGTGAATGTCGGCATGTAGATTTGATCAGGGCGGGACTCTTGTCAAATGTGTTAAATTTCGTGCAGATCTGGGCATTTACAGCCAAGTTACTACAACTTCCTGTTTCATGGCGAATCATCGACGCCACGGACACGCCCATCGACGAAAACGCGCAGATAGCACAACTTTTCATCGTCAATGCCTTTAGAAGGCACAGCAGAAATTTGAAGGCGATCCGACTAAAGCCCTAGGAGGAGTTAGTTAAAGTACGTAATGAGTAAATCATCCAAAAATGGCGGTAAAATTAGAAATGGCCGACTTCCTGTTGAGTTTAGGGCATCGCTCCAAGAGACTTTTCTGTGCGTCTGGACATGGTAGATGTACCACAGAAATTTCGTACATGTCGGTCAAACATGCGACGGGGGCTGCTTCGTTAAATGTCACTTCCTCTTGCCACTAGGTGGCGCTATGAATGTGGGTGAATGTCGGCATGTAGATTTGTTCAGGACGGGACTCTTGTCAAATGTGTAAAATTTCGTGTAGATCTGGGCATTTACAGCCAAGTTACTACAACTTCCTGTTTCATGGCGAATCATCGACGCCACGGACACGCCCATCGACGAAAACGCGCAGATAGCACAACTTTACATCGTCAATGCCTTTAGAAGGTACAGCATAAATTTGAAGTTGATCTGACTAATTCCCTAGGAGGAGTTCGTTAAAGTACGGAGTGTGTAAATCGTCCCAAATCGGTCGCCGAATTCAAAATGGCGGACTTCCTGTCGAGTTTAGGGTATGGGTTCTTGAGGCTTTTTTGTGCGTCTGGTCATGGTAGATGTACCACAGAAATTTCGTACATGTTGGTCAAACAAGCAGCGGGGGCTGCTTCGTTAAAGGTCACTTCCTGTTGCCAGCAGGTGGCGCTATGACTGTGGGTGAATGTCGGCATGTAGATTTGTTCAGGGCGTGACTCTTGTCAAATGTGTAAAATTTCGTGCAGATCTGGGCATTTACAGCCAAGTTAGTACAACTTCCTGTTTCATGGCGAATCTTCGACGCCACGGACACGCCCATCGACGAAAACGCGCAGATAGCACAACTTTACATCGTCAATGCCTTTAGAAGGCACAGCAGAAATTTTAAGTCGATCCGACTAAATCCCTAGGAGGAGTTCGTTAAAGTACGGAGTCTGTAAATCGTCCAAAAATGGCCGCCAAATTCAAAATGGCGGACCTCCTGTCGAGTTTATGGTATGGGTTCTTGAGGCTTTTTTGTGCGTCTTGATATGATACACGTCCCCACCAAATTTCGTGCATGTAGGTTGAACGTGGACGAGGGGCTAATTTTTTCCAATTTTCTAGGTGGCGCTAGCGTGCCATTTTGCCCTGCCCATCTGCGAAACCCACAAAATACGAAATTTTTCACCAGTCCTGACATGCGTGCCAAATTTGGTGAGTTTTTGAGCATGTTGCGGCCCCGAAAATGGCGCTTACTTTGCAGAAAAAAGAAAAAAAAAAAAAAAAAAAAAAAAAAAAAATAACCCTAACAGTTTCAATAGGGTCCTCGCACTGTTAGTGCTCGGGCCCTAATGAAACATAAAACAGAACTGAACTAGCATACCAAACACTGACTAAGAACATGAAGAAAACCACAAGGAACAGGGGCAACATAAGACAAAGCTCCGACAAAGACAGCAAACAAGAGGAGACTTAAATTGGGAACAAATCAAGAGGGAACAGGTGGAAGAACTCAAACACTAATCAGGTAACGAGGGGGAGGGATCAAACAATGACAAGAGCACATGGCCCAACATAACAAAGACACCCATGTGCTATACAAGACAGGACAGACACGTGACAGTTCATCAGTATTTCAAAATAAAAGTCTTAACACGCCTTATAGGAGTATGAAAATATTCTTGTTGCAAATTGATAGATTACAGCTCTTCTCTAATTTATTTAGAACATCAATCACAAAATATGAAAACTACAGATTGTAAGCTTTCAAATGATATATAGTTTGTCAATATTAGTTTAGGTTTAGTATATTAGGCTACTGTTTTAAATATGTAATGCTATGGTGCAACTTAAGTGGTTAAGGAAGTCAAAAAATCAGACCCTCACAAAAAACAAAACAAAAAAAAAACACTAAAACATACAGGTGATTATTATTATTATTATTATTATATTATATTTTTTTTTCACAGCTTGAAAAGAAGGAACGGAAAATGAGTAACATCTATGAGTCCGCTGCCACCACGCTAGGCCTCTTCAACAGCCCATGTCTGACAAAAGTGGAGCTCCGTGTGGCTTGTAAAGGAATATCTGACCGGGATGCTCTATCCAAGCCTGACCCCTGCGTCGTCCTCAAGATGCAGTCCCACGGACAGTGGTTTGAGGTGTGTCCTTTTTTTAAGTTTTGTATGCTCTAGCACAAATCACATCAGCAGAGGTCAAAATCTTAACATCAAATTGACGTCAAACTTTCATTTTTGACCTATTTCGTGACGTAATTTTGACATCAATGTTTGATGTCATATTGATGTTAAATTGACATCAAATGCCCACTGGGAACAGTATGCTGTTTTTCATGAAGGAACATCTCATTTTCACCTACACAAAAACACAATCTAGAGTGTGATTGTCATATGTGTGTTTGAATACCTTTTTTAACAGTTTACAACGACTTTTTTCATACATCATTTCAAAGAAACAACTGTTTGTGTGTCAGGCAATCACACACTCCCTTTCTTCACATTGAAACTGTGTGGTGAATATTTCAGAACACTTCTGGTGTTATCGTGAAAGTTGCATAGCCTACTTCAGTTACAGTCCTTTCACAAACACTAATCTGGACTGAACAGAAACTATTTACACAGTGCATGAGAACCAGCTCTTTATGGAACCGTATGCACTTATGCATGTGTGTATGACTGTTAAATGCTGATTAGTGTTCTGAGGCTGTGGTCTATGCTGTGATGTGAAAGTAATTTTAAACAGCGCCGTTAGATCACAGAAAGCGTTCTAACTGTCACGCTGTCTTTGGCCTCGCTAACAAAAACCAAAGGCGAGGTTGTACACTTCTGCAGTAACTCAAGTGAATCGGCATGTTATTTTTTGCTAGGTATCTGCGAAAGGTTTCAGTTGCAGCACAAAACAGGTGTTTCTGACACACGGTGGTTTTGCTTGGCACTGTTAAGGTGGGTATGATCCATAATTAATAAGGGAAAGCCATTTGAACTCCTGCTGTGAGCAGTGAAGTTAAAAACAAAGTGATGTGATTGAAAATATTTTTTTAAGGCACAGTCTGGAGAATCTCATGTAACCTGTCAACAAAATATTCGGCTCATTCATAATCTAGTTTTTAGGACCATTACGGTTGTTTTCATTGTGATGTTACTTTCCGGGACAATTGAGCCCTGCATTCTGCCCTGCATTCAATCCTGTGAAGCTGTCAGAGTTATATTCTTTTTTGGACATGTTTCTTTGCGTTTTTGGTTCTGTCATGTTTGCCTGCGTGCCCGTTCATTTGATACGGTTTCCTAGTGTGTCTGATTGTATTCAATTCATTTGTTGTCTAATCTTAATTATCTCATATCATTAGTTCCTATACTCCTTGCATTCCTGCAGTCTTTGTCCTGTCTTTTTTGTCCTGTCTCCTTTTCTCTGAGTGATTGTCTTTAAGGACTGTTTGTTGATGCCTTCATCTTTGTGCGCTACTTGTGTACAATAAACCATGACAGAAGCAACAATTAATCTTGTTTTTTTATATTTTCATAGCCATAATGTAACTAAAAATATATATTATTTAAAAAGAAAAATGAAAATTCTGTCATTTACTCACCCTCATGTCAATCCAAACATGTATATGGCTCTTTCTTCTGTAGAACAAAAGGAGATATTTTGAGGAATGTATTTGAGTAATTTTTTTGCCCATAAAATGAAAGTCAGTATATAGTAGCCCAAACTGTTCTGCTAAAAACATTGTTGAAAATATCTTCTTTTGTGTTCCGAAGAAGAAAGAAAGTCTTACGGGTATAGAACAACATGAAGGTGAGTAAATGATGACAGATTTTTTTTTTTTTTTTTGGGTGGGTGTGAAGTGTTCCTTGAAATTATACTTCCCTTAAAATTGAAATATGCATATATCATGGTAGTGGGACACATACCCAAAGATTCACTTCCATTTCTTAAAACATTCTTTATTAGTTTATAGGTGGAAATAAATTCAAACTTTTATAAAATCACAACTGTTTAAGTCCCACAGACCTTGTTAATATTGCATCAGTGTTAATATTGCATCATTTAGTCTAATACTAGTAATATTTCTAGGCTTTACTAAAAACCAACAAGTGTAATCAATTGGTCTAATAACAAACAAGTTAATCAGTTCATTTGGAAAGCAGTCTAAAACAGCTCTGTATAATCCATTTTATATATATTTTTGCTTTTAAGCAAAGCAAAGACCAGTTACAGGAAACAATAAATTGGAAAGTGGTAATAATAAGTTAAAGGGGACATATTATGCCCCTTTTAACAAGATGTAAAAGAAGTCTCTGATGTTCCAGAGTCAGTGTGTAGGTGAGGTTTTAGCTCAAAATACCCCACAGATAATTTTTCATTGCGTGTTAAAATTGCCACTTTTGTGGGTGAGCAAAAACGCGCAGATTTAGTGTATGTACCTTAAATGCAAATGAGCTGGTGCTCCCAGACCCTTTTCAAGAAGCTTCAAAAGCTCATGCAACAACATAAAGGATCATTTCACACTCTCAAAAAATGTCAGAAACTGTCAGTAGGGGTGTTCAGCCTTACATGTTTGAACTGGAGTCGGAAAATGGTGCCTACAGAGCCAGAAAAAAAATGCTACATGGAGATTGAACAGGAATAATTTAGTTTTATTATGGTTATCATCTTACTGTAAAAAAAAAAATTGTTCAATTCACGGAAAAATACCGGCAGCTGTGGTTGCCAGAAATTTACCCTATAAAATACGGTAGCAAGAATTTACAGTATAAGGTTTTACAGGCTTAACTTAAAATTTACGGAAATAAACCGTATTTAAATATCTGATATACTGTTAAATTATTGATCATTTGAAGTGTTAATATCTGTTTTATACCATTGTAATACATTGACATCCATCAATCACAGCAGTAATGAGAGTCACATAATATATGGAAACTCATCACATGTAGCTCTTTCACAAAAAACTAAATATTAACATATAGAAGCGGCACAGTGTCATTCACTCAAACATTAAACACCATCATGGTAACACTCATGAAATTTTAAAGAGGCAATAAATATTAATTTAACAACATTAAATGTCACATAAAACCCTAATGTACCTAACTGATTGGAAAAAGACTAAGCAAACTATGAAGAAACAAGTTATTTCAACAAAAATACATCAAGTGTGGAGTGTCACGCAGGGAATTGTGGGAATGTCAATTTACGTTTTTTCACTGTAAATTATACGATGAGTTGTTCATTTTCACTTTAAAATTTGTAAATTTAACAGTAATTTACAGTAAAATTACATGAAATTTACCATAAGATCTATCACAGTTATTTACCGTATATAGTAAGGAAAGGTTCTGTTAACCAATTAACAGTTTTCACTGTAGCATTTTTACAGTCTTTTACTGTTAAAATCACAACCATTTAGCAGACCCCATTCAAAATGATGGCCAAAACTTTGCTGATTAGTTTTATGAAGTTTATTGCACATCACACAAAATATAAAAAGTCTGTTTTCATTCCAGAAAATGACTGTAAGAGCTGAGTAAAACACAGTACAAGAAGTCTACATTAAAGTCTTATCATAAACTCTCTTTCTCCCTTGTATTATCATCAACATAGAAAGGGAATTACACAAAAACAACTTGTAACAACTAACAGGAAACAAATATTCACCAAAAAAGTATGCCTTTTCGTGGGGTGCTTAATAAACTGGTAAACTGCAAAATCTGCAAAACAGCTCCGATGAACTGTAATAAAGTGTGTGCGTGCTCTCCCTTTCATTACTGCCATAACAAGAATGTTTTATATTAATATAATATTCCCTTCAAAAATCCCTTCAAAGTGACGTCGTTTTGCCCAGAATTGAAATCGCCCAGAATCCAGAATCGTTTTGTAAAATCGAAATGGTCAGATGCATTACAGTATTGAGAACTGATAGATTGAAAGATGTGCTTATTTGTGCTGTAAATAATATCACAATGCAACAACCAAAACTTAATGTATTTTTTTTGTCTTTTTCTGAGTTTGTTTTATTCATGTTTGTATTCTGTTTGATTTAGTTATTCTGTTCAGTTCTTGTTTTGTTGTCATTGCTAATTAATTCTGTTCCCTTCTGATCTGTTCCTTTGGTTACACATTGATTGTAGTACTCTGTTCAGGTATTTATATCCTCTGTAGTTTACCCCTTGTATAGTGTTAGTCAGATTTAGTTATGGTTGTGTTAGTATTTCTTGTACAATTTCTCAGAAATATAAATGTATTGACACCAAAATTTTGATGTCACGGGTGCTGTGTATATTATCCACAACTCTAAATTAAGTCACCAAGTCTAATTGACCATGGTGGAGCCAGAGGGACAAGGGAGCCCGGCGGAGCCTGAGAGATGACAGACTATTGTGTAGCCGAGGGAGAGTTGATCCAAGTTTGAGCCAATGGGTCAAAAGCCCCTTGTAGATCATTAGCAGCTGGGCGGATTTTCTGGAGGTGCCGAGGGGCTAAAGTGGGACAGTGGAGATGAGGCTGAGGAACTGGATGCTTTTGGCAGAGGAGAAGGGAGAAACAGGCTGGGATCTGGGCTAAACCAGCAGAGATGAAGACATCTTGGAACTGGACTGAACCAGCGGCAAGAAAAACACCTTGGAACTGGGTTGAACCAGCAGAGATGAAGGTGACTTGGGACTAGACAGAACCAGCAGAGACAAAGATGACTAGGGACTGGACTGAACCACTAGATATTAAGACGACTTGGAATTGGCCTGAACCAGAGAAAACAAAGACGTCTTGCCTTGGAACTGGATGGAAACAGTGGAGAAGGTAGACCAGGATACACTATATCATCCATCTCCTTAAATAATTTTTCCTCAGCGACCTAGCTTATAGCATGCAGCAACAGGAGTGTGTACGGGGCTTCAATTCAGTCCAACAATATATGCCCTCGACGACAGATGCTGCTTCTGGCTCATACACCTGGACAGACTCCGCAGTGGGCTCTGGCTCTGGGATAAAAGTAGTCTCTGGCGTTCGCTCTGGCTCTTGCTTTGTGGTGGGCTCGGGCTCTGAGTCTGCAGTGGGCTCTCATTTATGCTCCGTCCTGGGCATGGCTGAAGGCTGGCTGGGCTCTGAGTCCATGTTCATGTGGTGCATGTGTTGTCCTCATCCGCAATGCAAACAGTGTATGGGGAACCACAATTTACCAGTACCCACTCCACAAATTACTAAACTTCCTTGAGGACCTTCCATGGGCAGACGTGACTTTAAATGTTCGTGGAGACCGGTGTTATAGAATAACACCTATACAGCGAGCGGTCAGGATAGTAGATGAGTTGTGCCAGATCTAGAAAGTTCCTTGTGTGATCCTTGAGGGAGCGATCCCCCTGTCCAACAGCAGGAGGTGAACAGCAGTTATATCCAGTTTGAAATCCTTTTGCAGTTATAATCTAAAATGTGATCTTGGATTCTGTCTGTGGTGCTGTAAATAATCCACAAAGAGAATGTATGATGCAGAATGAATGACAAACTTTTAAACAACACCAACAACTGGAATACAACACAACAAACCATTAACGTTAACGCAAGACAATGAACAAAAAACAAACAAACAAAAAAAAACCGAGGGCTTAAATACACAGAGGAAGATCATTAACGAAACAGGTGAGAACTAATTAGAAACCGTGACAACAAATGAAACAAAAACAATGACAAGGAAAATACTAAAGGACTAAAAAGTAAACTAAACAGGACAATGAAAATATAAAGGAAAAAAAAAACTTTATTGATGGCACATGGGATTAAGTATAATTTTTTCTGTTATCTATTTTAAGCAGTTTGTTATAGTCTTAATGCCACCTGTCATATTAACTTGTAACAAATTCAATTTGGACTTTAAGTACAACAACCTATTTTGCACTTTAAAGGACAACTCCGGCGCAAAATGAACCTTTGGTCTAATTACACATTGCTACCTAGTCAACCGTTATCTGAGATTTGTTTTCATGATTGCCGAATGTAAATAGTTTTATCTCTAAAAACAGTTTAGCCTATAATGCTAGTATATAGGGCATAGAGTAATGACAAATAAAAATCGCTTGTTATTACCACTAACAAGGCTCAAAATAGCCCCACACCAAAACGACACCATAACAAGGGTCCCTACATTCAAACCGAAGCGTTGAGAACTTTGTCAGTGTCCACACAGTTTAATAAGAAGATATTTTATACACACAGTAAATTTCGCGAATACAGGAAGAAGCCATCTTTGAAAAATAGTCTCTACCAGTCGATCTACGAACGCCGATCCAAGTGCGCTGAACTGTGCAGAATCTCATATGATCCGTTGTTTCCAGAAGAAACACAAACACACACCGCTTGGATCGGCGTTCGTAGATCGACTGGTAGAGACTATTTTTCCAAGATGGCTTCTTCCTGAATTCGCGAAATTTACTGTGTAAAACATCTGCTTATTAAACTGTATGGACACTGACAAAGTTCTCAATGCTTCGGTTTGAATGTAGGGACTCTTTTTATGCTGTCGTGTTACTGTGGGGCTATTTTGAGCCTTTTTAGTGATAATAACAAGCGATTTTTATTTGTCATTACTCTATGCCCTATACTAGCATTATACTAGCGTTATAGGCTAAACTGTTTTTAGAGATAAAACTATTTACATTCGGCAATCATGAAAACAAATCTCAGATAACGGTTGACTAGGTAACAATGTGTAATTAGACTAAAGGTTCATTTTGCGCCGGAGTTGTCCTTTAAGTAGTAAGAATCGATTAAGGATATGAACGATGAAGGATATTGGATCCTTTTCATCATCCAAACATCCAAACAATCAGCCTGTATAATTTTTGTGTAAAAAGCTCTAAACTAAATGCCTAAAATTTGTATTAAATGAAAACACCAAAGCTGGAGTGTGACATTTGCCATCTTCTGATTGGTTCCAGGTGGACCGGACAGAGATTATTCGCAGCAGCATCAGTCCGGTTTTCTCCAAAGTCTTCACAGTGGACTACTATTTTGAGGAAGTGCAGCGCCTCCGTTTTGAGCTCCATGACATCAGTAGCAACCATAATGGACTTAAAGAGGCTGACTTCCTGGGTGCCATGGAGTGTACGCTTGGACAGGTGAATGCATAAAGGAGCGGCAGAGTGCACACTTAACTGAAGCACAGTATAGGGAAGATGAAAGCTTGTGAATGGAACGAGTGCGTGAGAGAGAATGAGTACATGAGAGGGATTGTGTGGATTCAAAAGTGTAGCAGAGAGCTGACGAGCGCATGAAGGTGCCTGGTGGGCAGATGGATTATTACTCCAAAGTCTTTTTATCTAGTCTATAATAAAACAAGACAACAACCAGTGGTATATAAAGGAACATAAGAGGGTTAAGAGGACTTGAATAAAAAAAAGTTCACATGAGGACAAGAAACTACACGATTTTGTATGGTATTAGCAGACACTTCTTTTGTTTCTCGCTGTTAAAGTGATATTGTAAGTGATATCTCGCTATATATTGTAAAACAATTTTCTCATTTAGTTCTAACCACTTACATTGACAAGTATATATTAGATGGTTTAAAAATACTTTTTTGTGAGTTGAACATGCAAACAAGGTAAATTTTAGAAGAGTTTTTTCATTAAAGTAATACTTTAAAGTAAAGTGACGTAGTTCCAGTTACTACATGTACTTACTATAGTAACAAAATTATGCATAATTGCACGTAACTAACCTAAACCTAACCCTAACTGTAAATCTATGCTAAGTACATGTAATTTATTATTATTAATTGGTACTTTTCCTGAGTAAGTACAATTTAACTAAATCAACTTAAAATAAAGTGTAACCGAATTTTGTTTACAATACTTTTATTGGTTAAGTGGTCTTATAAGTGGTCTGAGTTAAGTGCACATTCTTAATAAATTAGAGTTGTCCTGCCCACTAGGTTACTATACTTACATTACTATGTAATCTAAAGTATGTGGATAAGTAGCCTTCTTGTTGGTGATTGTGGTGTAAATGTGTAATTAAAAATACAGTTAAAGCTCCTATGAAAAATAAAAATGGAAAAATTTTGGCCCTTACTTTTACAGACATTTCTTTGAGTGAGTTCATAATTTGTTCGAGTTTACGGTCTGGTTTTCTGTATAACAGGCTTGTGCACAATTCAGAATTGAATTGAGAATGACTGCTAAATTCCAATTCAATTCTTGAATTTGAATTTAATTTGAATTGATGTCAAAAACAGGATCTAGAATTACAATTCAAATTTGAATTAAAGGAAGCAGAATTGCAATTCAATACAAATTCTAAGAAATTCATATAGATATTTTAAGTGAAGTGTTTAAAATGTAGCTTTACAGTATATATCATATGATTGCATTACATATTACATATTCGTTTTAACTACCAGCAATGTTTCCCCCAGCAATGAATGTTTAAAGCTCTAGTCACAGAACAAATAATTAAGTTTGATTTATTGTAATTGTAACGCCATTTCCCAGAATTACTTCAGTAAATTTTTAGGGGAAAAATTGCATTACATTGATAAAGTAATCGAAATAAATTAATCTAAATCACATTTATAATGGGTAACTTTTAACAGAGAGCAATTACATTTCCAAAATAACCTTCCTGCTAAAAACGCTTTGGTGGACACACGGCCTAACACTGAATGAGCGCGGGGCTTGTGGTAACGCACTTGTTTTAAATACTTCCACACATGCCAGCATGACGACAATTGGTGTATTTACTAGCTGCCATTTAAACACCATAGAAAAAAATTGCGCCAAAATTCAGAAATCTTTGTAAGATATCATTGAACATTTATTTAACCATAGCAAAAGTACATTTCTTACTTAAGTTAATTTTTCGTCTCTATTTTTTGTGTTTAATTAAAATTAGACTAATCTGATATTTTTTAATCTCCAATCTGTTGTCTAACAGTTGAAATAGTTATTTAATGCTTTGCTAGCTAGCAGAAGACGCTAGCAGGGTTTAAACCCCAGTTGTTCAGATGGGGCATCACACTGTGTTACATTGTGCCCCTATTAGAAATATGCTATTATATTCTATACTTTTATGAATTATATTGAGAAAACATGAGAAATATGTAAAAAAAGACTGAGAGTCAATGTTCAGAAATGGTTAATTATTATTTTGTTTTGAACTATGCTGTATAGCTGTGTTTTCCAGTGTGTTTGTTGCCAAACTCCAAAATTAGTTTATTTGTAATTATTAAAAAATGCCATTATTTTATATGAAAAAGTTAATAATTGTATTTTGTATTTTATTAAGAAAAATATTTTGGTTTGACTTGTATATTTTTTGATTAGATAAGATAGCATTTTAAGCTGTCATATGGTGACAGTTTAAAATGTTACAATGTTCCCCTCACATGTTACAATGTACCCCATGGGGCATGTTGTTACATTTCAACATTTCTTTCAGGGTAAATCAAGAAAAAAGTATACACTGTATTAATAAAACAAAACCACATAATTTTAGGAGACATGTGGGAAATTAATGTGGGAATACATAAATACTCTAAATAGATTTGCCACAAACGTTGTGCCCCGCTCTCCCCTATGTGAGATTCAACACATTCTTTCTGTTGTGTGACTGTGTGGAATTTCTTTGAATTGCCATGAATTTAATTCCACTTCCTGTCATTCCAATTCAACTTTCTGTGGGGCGGAGTCAATTCAATTCAAATTCCAATTCATGAATTGAATGGAGGCGAATTCTGAATTTTGCACAAGCCTGCTGTATAAGTGTATCTTCTTGCCTCATATCCTCTCATTTTCTTTCATAGATTGTATCACAGAGAAAGCTGTCCAAAGCTTTACTAAAGCAAGGAAACACATCTGGCAAATCATCTATTACAGTAAGAATAGACATTTCCCCTCAATTATTATACAATGAAAATTTGTGCTCTTTTTTCATAATCTGAACTATGACTTCTTTGAAATCACAGGTCACAGCTGAAGAGCTGTCTGGGAATGATGACTACGTGGAGCTCGCCTTCAGTGCCAAGAAACTGGATGACAAGGTGTGATCAACTGGCACAATGTTGAGAAACAATCAGATAATTTTAGTCTTCATATTGTCCCTTACGGTTTTACCCCAATTGAGCAATTCATCATCTGCTAATTTATTCAAATAAACTGTTCTTTTTAATGTGCCATTACAAAATAACGACAAGTATAAATAGATAGTGGACCATTCAAAAACAAGTATGTGCAATCTAATATAGACACTAAAAAGGAGAAAGTCAGGCTGAATAAATGTGCCTGGGATTGATGTAGGAATCAATCAAAAATTCATTAAGGCTCAAATGTAATTTCTGTGCTACTAGTGGCACCAAATAAAATTGAAAAAAAAAAAAAAAACCCGCAATTTTCAGAAAGGCTTCTAGAATGCTTATTTAATATTTGCATAGGCTATATGTTACATTAACCTTAAAGAGCCCCTATCGTAGCATTTGAAATGTTCCTATTTTTGTTTTAGGAGTTCCCAAAAACAGTTTAGCATGCATGCAAGGATAAAAAAAAACACTTTATTTGTCTTATAATATGCATTTATTTTTAACTGATTGGCTCACCGACTCCCAAATGATTCGTACAACTCATTTTTCCAAACCATTCCTTTGCGTGACGCTAATTGGCGGTGATTGGTCTGATGACAGAACCAGCCAGTTATTGTTTGTTAGCATAACCGTAACGCATAAACATATTGATAAAGCACTGCAGTACTACAAGACGCTCTATTCTTTATGACAACTCCAATAACGGCGACAAAAATTTCACATATTTAAAAAAAAATGACATTGGAGACCTAGAAGCTGCGCTGAGCGTAACTCACACACGCACACACACACATATATGCGCACACACATACTGCCTCGCGCCCCGACGCAACAAAACCGTTCAAAACCCATAAAAGCAACAATAGCCGCGTTTCCACTGCCGGGCTAGGGCTGGGCCAGAGCTAACAGCGAGCCGAGCTGAGCTAGTGGCCTCGGGCCTCAAGCACCGGGCTTGCGTTTCCACTGCCGGGCCAGTAGCCCCACAGCGCTGCCCCAAACCCCACCCCTAACACGCCTTTCTGGATCAGACGTCATAAAACCCAACCCATTTCAGCGGGTATTATGAATTAATTTATTTTTTAAATTAGGAAGATAGCATGTATATTAACTCACCTGCCGTAGTGGCTGCAATAGTGTCCCGAGACCAGTACAGGCGATTCTCCATTTCAAGCAGCGATTTTTTGCGCGATATAACAAGTAGGGCTGCGGGCACGTTTTCAAGTTATTCATTAATCGTTAACCAAGGCCCATCGGTTAATACTCGGTGCATAGTGTGCGCGCCGCAACCTCGAGATACAGAGTACATTTTTAACACCTTTAATAACTGATTGGACCCCATTTGAAACGAAATTAATTTATAGAAATAAAACGCAGCAAGTACGGACCAGTTAAAGCCCCATTTCCATCACCCTTCAAACTGAAATTGCCAATTGAAAATAAGCAAAACGTCCATTTCACAAAAACTCCGTGTCTGCAAATAATAATAATAATATAATAACCATCATCATTATTGTAACATTTTATTAGGCTGCATATGTAGAAGACGCCTTTATCCAAAAAAGATAGAGCACAAATAAACACAATATTTTTGACGCATAGTGTGTGTGGAGCACGCACTGATGGCTGCGAGACGCCCATGTGAATACTTGCAGTTTCATTGCATTTCTTTCAGTGGAAACAACTTAAAATACTCTTTCATTTCTGGTCATACAGAAAATAATAATACATTATTCGCAAATACATTTATTTGCGTAAACTCACAATAACAAGAAAACGTTGTGTTCCCTTTCGAAGGGAACTCAACAATACGTCGAATGACGCAATGGGGAACGCCTCAGGCGTGACAGGTGTCTGAAATCAAATATCAACTCACAGTAATCAGGTTGACCGGCGACAGCCCGTGCATCATCAGCTTGAATGATGAGCGCGTCAATCTGGATGTATAAGAAGGGCGCCTTGAAACCGTGACAACATCTTTTCGTCTTCAGGGACTGTTTGTCTGTTTGATAGTATCAACGATTAAGCGCGCAGAGACGTGGAGAAACACTTTGCGCGAGTGTGCCGACTTGTGTCCAGATATTTGACACTGGAGGATTCACACGATCTGTGCGTGTTCTGCCTGAGAGAAGAGCATTCGCGGGAAGCTCTCGAGGGAGTTTTTTGCGCGAACTGAGAGTTTTCCTTTCAGAACTCTCTGCTCTCGTCTGACCCACTTCTCGAGGGAAGTGGGCGCAGCATCTGAACCCCGCGGTTCCGGTTCCCGCTCGGGCTGAGGCTCAGTGGTGGTTGAGCTCGTGGAGCTTTCAGACGGAGCTGGCAGATTATCGGGAGAGGGGCGTTAACCTCGCGGATGATCTACCAGCTGACGAGGGTAAGTTACAGATTAATGTTGAACACCTAAGAAGAGAGAAAATGAGCGCTCTCTCTCTTTGGTGAATCTGTAACTGTTCTCTTCGGGCAGGGCAGGAGTTGGCTGTAATATATATATATATATATATATATATATATATATAGAAAAGGATGTCAGTTTGGTTGAGACCGAACCATTTCAGCCCTCCTGTCCAGTGTACGCTGAGCTGGTTGACATTATGGGGCGCGCCACAGACAGATTGCAGTTGCAGTGGAGGCGTGTCTGGGAGGAACCCGCTCATGGTATTTTGGATGGCTGGTTCCTCCCCACCCATAAGCCACCAGCCCGGATGAGCCTTCCATTCCTTTCTGATCTCCACGCTGGGATTGAGAGGGTATGGAAGAATCCGTTCTCCTCACGTCTCTATCTGCATCAGCGGGCTAGTTTCGCTGCTGTGGAGGGAGCCGTGGAGCACGGATATGTGTCGATGCCGCCAGTGGACGAGACGTTGGCTAACTATCTCGTCTCTGGTTGGTCCTCTTCACTAAGAGCTCTGACCCTGTCATCCAAGCTGCTCAAGACATCTTCATGCTTGAATGACAGAGCGTACACGGCAGCAGGTCAGGCAGGTGCGGTTCTGCACGCCCTTGTGGTCCTCAGGCCTACCAGACTGATCTGCTGCGGGACTCCGGGCCACCAAGCAATCTGCTGTTCCGACAGTGCTATGGTGGCCACGGAGAGACATCTGTGGGAGCTCCCACATACTGTGGTTGCCGGGTTACAGGCCTCACTAGGCCTTCCTGGTTATGAGCTCCCACTGATTGTGGTCGCCAGGTTACAGGCCTCACCAGGCCTTCCTGGTTATGAGCTCCCACATGCTGTGGTCGCTGGGTTACAGGCTTCACCAGGCCTTCCTGGTTATGAGCTCCCACATACTGTGGTCGCCAGGTTAAAGGCCTCACCAGGCCTTCCTGGTTATGAGCTCCCACACATTGTGGTCGCCAGGTTACAGGCCTCACCAGGCCTTCCTGGTTATGAGCTCCCACGTACTGTGGTCGCCAGGTTACAGGCCTCACCAGGCCTTCCTGGTTATGAGCTCCCACATGCTGTGGTCGCTGGGTTACAGGCTTCACCAGGCCTTCCTGGTTATGAGCTCCCATATACTGTGGTCGCCAGGTTACAAGCCTCACCAGGCCTTCCTAGTTATGAGCTCCCACATACTGTGGTCGCCAGGTTACAGGCCTCAATAGGCCTTCCTGGTTATGAGCTCCCACACATTGTGGTCGCTACGTTACAGGCCTCAAAGGGGCCTTCCTGGTTATAGTTCCCACATACTGTGGTTGCCGGGTTACAGGCCTCACCAGGCCTTCCTGGTTATGAGCTCCCACTTATTGTGGTCGCCAGGTTACAGGCCTCACCAGGCCTTCCTGGTTATGAGCTCCCACTTATTGTGGTCGCCAGGTTACAGGCCTCACCAGGCCTTCCTGGTTGTGAGCTCCCACATGCTGTGGTCGCTGGGTTACAGGCTTCACCAGGCCTTCCTGGTTATGAGCTCCCACATACTGTGGTCACCAGGATACGAGCTCTCACATACTGTGGTCGCCAGGTTAAAGGCCTCACCAGGCCTTCCTGATTATGAGCTCCCACACATTGTGGTCGCCAGGTTACAGGCCTCACCAGGCCTTCCTGGTTATGAGCTCCCACATACTGTGGTCGCCAGGTTACAGGCCTCACCAGGCCTTCCTGGTTATGAGCTCCCACACATTGTGGTCGCCAGGTTACAGGCTTCACCAGGCCTTCCTGGTTATGAGTTCCCACATACTGTGGTAGTCAGTTTACAGGCCTCACCCAGCCTTCCTGAATGTGGGCTCCCACATGCTGCGGTAGCCAGAATACAGCCTCACCACCTTTCCTGAGCACTTTTCTCCCACTCTGTGGTCACCAGGCTTCAGGCTTCATTGGCCTTCCTGGTTATGAGTTGTCACATATCAGGTTGCAGGCTTCACCAGGCCTTCCTGAACGTGAAACCCCCACTTTTCGTGGTCGCTAAGTTGTAGTGGTGAGTCTTCACATGTCAGGCTGCAGGCCTCAGCGGCCTTCCTGAATGTGAGCTCCCCATGCATTGGGACTATCGGGTGTTAGGCCTTGTCAGGCCTTCCTGATTATGGGTTTCCACTTGTTGTGGCTGCCAGGTTACAGGCCTCAAGTTCGGCCTTCCTGAATTCAGAGTGAAGTACACAAACCCATACTTCACCTATTATTGTGGTAAGTCACCCGACGAGATGTCTTGTGCACTTTTTAAAATCCATTCCTTATGGTGAGGGTCACGCGCGGTATGCTTCGGTCCCTTCTTATGTGGCTCAGACCCCGGTCTTTCCTCGGGTCCCACTTTAAGAGTTCTTAAGAGCTAACTTCTCGAAGTAGCTCCCACTTGGTGTGGTTTTTCAGGTACACCAGGCTGGGTCTCCCTGACCTTCCTGAGTACGAGCTGCCACCGGATGTGGTCGCCAGGTTACAGGCCTTACCAGGCCTTCCTGGTCACGAGCTCCCACACACTGTGGTCGTCAGGTTACAGGCCTCACTAGGCCTTCCTGGTTATGAGCTCCCACATACTGTGGTCGCCAGGTTACGAGCTCCCGCATACTGTGGTCGCCAGGTTACAGGCCTTACCAGGCCTTCCTGGCCATGAGCTCCCACACACTGTGGTCGCCAGGTTACAGGCCTCAACGGGCCTTCCTGAATTCAGAGTGAAGTACACAAACCCATACTTCACCTATTATTGTGCTAAGTCACCCGACGAGATGTCTTGTGCACTTTTTAAAATCCATTTCTTATGGTGAGGGTCACGCGCAGTATGCTTCGGTCCCTTCTTATGTGGTTCAGACTCCGGTTCTTCACTTTGGGTCCCACTCTAGATGTGTCTTTGTTGCAATACATTACGACAGGCACTTCCCTTGTTCAAGCTATCTCCCACAACTGGTGGTTTTAGGTCTCATTAGACCTGTTTCGAGGTAGCCCCATATTGTGGGTCTGTCAGGTTTCTAGCCTCTGGCTTTCCTGAAGGATGAGCTTCCACATGCTGTGGTCGTTGGGTTTCAGGCCGCACAGTGTACGGCCTTCCTGACATGAGCCCTCATGTTTCAGAGCTCCCCACACAGGGGGTCATCAGGTCTTAGGTCTCATTGACCTTCCTGATTTTGATCCCTCTCTTACTTCCTCAGTGCTCAAAGCGAGCACTGGGTGGAAACTCGTGGATTGAGTGTACGATTCCCGTTGTTTTGAGGTTGAGTCACACTCTCCGGAGGATCCCGTCTCTGTGATCCGAAACTTGATGGTTTCTGCCAGCTTCGCGGGCCTTCAGTTTTTGGATGCCTTTCCTAGGCAATTTCCAGAGGCTCTGTCTTGGACGGACAGGCTATGGCCAGACTGTGTGTCTTAGTACAGATCACCAGGCCAGCCTGGGGGCATTTCAGGAGGAGTGTTCTCCTGAATAGTGACTGGCTGGGGTCCCTTTGGCCCCCTAGCCACACTCCCTAGAAGGGACCCCTTCTATTTTGAAGTTGTGGTCCTAAAGCCTTTGAGCTGGCCCCGATTTACCCACGTTATTACGTTCTGGTTTTTCTTGGTTCATTAGCTTGGGCTATGACCGGTAGGGAGTGCTGTCACTGACAGCCCGATGTAACATAGGGTGAGTGGTTTCAGTGTTCCTTGGAATTACTGGTTCTGACAGTTGTCACTGCCTTTTCGGCATGCACTCCCCTCAGCATGGCGGAGTGGGTATTTCGTTCCCCATTGCGTCATTCGACGTATTGTTGAGTTCCCTTCGAAAGGGAACGTCTCAGGTTACGACTGTAACCTATGTTCCCTGAGAACAGGGAACGAGACAATACGTCTCGTTGCCATGCCTCGGGGCCTGCCTGCAACAGTCCCTTCAGACGATAGGATGTTGTCACGGTTTCAAGGCGCCCTTCTTATACATCCAGATTGACGCGCTCATCATTCAAGCTGATGATGCACGGGCTGTCGCCGGTCAACCTGATTACTGTGAGTTGATATTTGATTTCAGACACCTGTCACGCCTGAGGCGTTCCCCATTGCGTCATTCGACGTATTGTCTCGTTCCCTGTTCTCAGGGAACATAGGTTACAGTCGTAACCTGAGACGCTTTAACAATTAATCAAGGCGCGCTTCATGATCTCCGTGAACTGAAGCGCGAGACCTGAAACAGCCACCGCATTCGAATTTGTTCGTTTTAAATTGGACATTTAAATCTTTAGTCTACAGGGGTTATATCCTTTGTAGATTAAAGCTTTAAATGTCCAATTTAAAACGAACAAATTCGAATCGAAAGCCAATATCTTCTGACTATGTAATTATGTAGCTAATTAATTTCTCTCTAAATGTGCATCCGGAGATGGAGATTTTTAGCCGAAAATGATTTAGAAAACAATAGTTTATTAATAAACAATTAATGCCTCGTTATTTTATATTATTTTATTATCAGACACATTTATTATAGCCTATAAATCACCTTTCTGTAGGCTGTACGGCTCTTCTCATTCAGCACTGCGGGGAAAATATCATTTCCAGGTTCTAATTTGGCCTCAGAAAACCAGAAATATATATATATATATTTTCATATTAATTTGTCAAATATTTTAAATGTTTAGGGGGCAAAAATAATCAAACAAATATCTGAAAATTCGTCGATATGTAGCCTATATATAGCCTATATATTTTTGCACAGCATTTGGCATAGGCCTACAGTTCAAATTAAAATGTTATGCAATTTTAAACGGTTAATAGGTTAAACATGGACACCCCTATGTGCATCTTGCTTCAGATCATAACATTCCATAACACCGATAAACTCCGCCTTTTACCTTGAGCACGCCTCTAGCCCGAGCTGGCCCCCTCTGGCCCAAGGTATTCGACGGGCCAGAAATCCTGGCCGTTGGCCCTGAGGAAGCCCCGATCAAGCCCCGGAAGTGACAGTGGAAACGCGACTGGCCCTGGCACGCACTAGCACGGCCCGGCCCTGGCCCGGCAGTGGAAACGCGGCTAATTATTAATAATACTTACAGGTTGTGTTTCATAGGAGGAAGCTGATCCATATACACTGGGTAAGTAAGTTACTGAGGCCTCCTTCAGGAACAACCGCTTGTGAATCCACATTTGAATTAATTTATGTTTTTGAATGTTATTCGTCAATAAAATGATGAGAACAAAATTGGGCTTTAGTGTTGTGGTATCACTCCAACCACCGATTCTTCACATGCTCGTCCCTGGTTAATGAAAACAAAGTGGCTGAACTATCTTTGTATTGTAGAACACAGCGTCTTCTCGACATGTGTAGACTTCAAGTTTACACTTCCGTCTGCGCACGCAGTAACTGGGCGCGGCCAGTATGTATCTACGTCACTACAAACCAGCCAATGACTCGTTTCAAAAACAATTCATTTCATAGACTCAGAGTTGAGTCTCACTTTTGAAAGACAATAACTTTATATACGGTGCACTTTCAGATATAAATCTTTGCAGGATGTTTTCATTCCCTGGCTTAGAGCTATATTCCACACCATATGAACAGTCATTTTCAAAAATCCATGATAGGGGCTCTTTAGAAATAAGAATGAGTTGATTCTTTGTTTGTTTAGGACTTTTTTAGCAAGTCGGATCCATTTCTGGAAATCTTCAGAGTGAATGATGATGGAACAGCATCACTGGTGCACAGAACAGAAGTGAGATTGATAGAAAGACACATGCATCTTCAAACATGCATATTAAATACTTATTTAAGATAAATAGTGTACATGTATTAACTGATCTCTGTATTTTTCTATTCGCAGACCATTATGAACAATCTAAGTCCTGTCTGGAAATCATTCAAAGTTTCTTTAAACACACTCTGCAGTGGAGACCAAGAGCGGGAGTTAAAGGTAGGACAGCTATTTCAACTAGATCCACTAATAATTTATTTCATCATTATGCATAAACCTTAAGGTATGATAACCAGGCATGATATTTGAGATATATCTGACATAAATCAGTGAATCATCTCATCGAAAGAGAAACACACTCTATACAAGGCTTTTATGTCAGTGTAGTTTTAAAATTGTTACTTTTTTTTACTCTTTATTCTGGTCTCAGTGTGACCATTTGGTCACATTAGATTAGAATCATGTTGGCAGATTTATGTAATGGCAGTCCTATCCATTCTTCCTCACCATTGCAGCTGACATCTTTCATAGTGAGCAAATTACTGAGCGGGTAAATGGAGCCCGGCTGTTCAGAGGGTCCTGACAGTTGGCTGAGAGGAGCAGACATAGTGGAACCAGTGACAGAAATTGATGTTAATGCCCTTTAGTCCATTCAAGCCCATACTGTCCTTCTGGGTTTGAGAACTTTCTGTCCGTGGGACCAATTGGGAAAAAAAGAACACTTTAGGGCTCTATGGAGAGCAAGAAGCTGTGTTATTCACCAGACATGATTGATTTAGGATCAGAAAGTGAGATTAGACTCAAAGTCAGCCATGGCTCGTGAGGGCAGGTGCTGTGCCCTGCCAAAATATTAATCCAAAACATAGACCTCTAAATGTACTGAATCAATAATAAATTCTATACTGAGGGTTGCAGAGGGTGCCTGTGTCCACCCCAGCTCTACAGCGCCCCACAATTTTCCAATGTAAATCTGTGGTGAAAAATGAGAGCCATTTATTTTCACTTTACCTTACGTAAACCTTGCTCCAGATCAAGATGATATTAATCCGCTTCAGAAGTGTATATTAGTCTGCATCAAGTCAGTAACTAGTTGGTATGTCCGTTCTTCTTATCAAATTAATGAAAATTTAAACATGCTAATGTGAAAAACCTTTATATGGTTCGGTTGTGTTGGTTTTATCTTTGTTCTGAGCATATCTAAATTACTGGTAATATTTCTGTAAATTACAGGTACATGTTTTTATTGTTCAAAAGTTTGGAGTCATTTTTTTTTTTTTTTACTGAACGATCATGTGACCCAAAGGCTGGATTAATAGTTACTGAAAATCCAGCTTTGCCATCACAGGGATAAATTACATTTTAAAATATATTAAAAGAGAAAACATTTTTTTTAAATTATATCAATAGTTCACAATATTCATTTAATGTATTTTTTAGATGGTAGCTATCACCCTGTAGCCTAAGACAGGTTGCCTACAGAAGCTAAGCAGGGTTTAGCCTGGGGTGCGTTTCCCATACAACAATGTTACTCGCTTCACAACCATAGTACGATGCATCGTTATAGAAATCAACTAGCTAGTCACGACTGTACCGGTTGTACTGAATGTCAGCTTGCTTATTTTGCTCAAGATAAGAATTTATTACATCCAAATGTCACGCAATATAGAAACTATGCCTCTAACAACAGGTTGGGAGCTGTCGTTCAAACTACACAACTTTGCGATGCTGTTTGCGAATGTTCGTTGGAACAATTGTTTTGGGAAACACAGACTCGTTGAACTTGTCACGATACAATTTACAAAAGTGGAGAGGAGGACTGCAGTGAAGTGCAGTGAAGGGATGACTTATTAACAAAATAAAACAAAACACAAAGCAAAAACCCACAAGGGGGAAAACATAATGACTAACATGGCTACCATCACAGGGAAACTGGGGTAACAAAAGACAAAGATCCGACAAAGACAGCAAACAAGAGAAGACTTAAATAGGGAACAAATCAAGAGGGAACAGGTGGAAGAACTCAAACCCTAATCAGGTAACAAGTGGGAGGGATCAAACAATGACTGGGGCACATGGCCCAACATAACAAAACACCCATGTGCAACACAAGACAGGACAGACACGTGACATTACCGCTCCATCAGGCGGGATGGGAGGGACAGACCAGGGCGGGATGGGAGGGACAGACCAGGGTGGGACGGGAGGGACAGACCGCTTAGTCCTGGGTGGTCCGGGCAAAACAGATAGTCCATAGGGTGGCCAGAGCAAAGCACATAGTCCATCGGGTGGCCAGGGCGGCGAAGAGCCCTCGGGCGGCCAGGGCGGAGAAGACCCCTCGGGTGGCCAGGGCAAACACAGACACAAACACTGGGTCCGGAACCGACATGAGCTCCAGCTCTAGAATAGGCACTGGTTCTGCCTCCGGCTCAGGAACAGGCACTGGCTCTGCCTCCGGCTCAGCAACAGGCACTGGCTCTGCCTCCGGCTCAGCAACAGGCACTGGCTCTGCCTCTGGTTCAGGAACAGGCACTGGCTCTGCCTCCGGCTCTGGAACAGGCACTGGCTCAGGAACAGACACCTGCTCAGGAACAGACATTAAAACAGAAACAGTCACAAGGACAGACACAAACACAGACACAAACAGTGGGTCCGGAACCGACATGAGCTCCAGCTCTGGAACAGGCACTGGCTCTGCCTCCGGCTCTGGAACGGGCATAGGCTCTGCCTCCGGCTCTGGAACCGGCACTGGGTTCAGCTCCGAAACACCGGACACCGGCCTCTCCAATATCCAAGCCAGCCGCTCCGGATAGTCCCAGCTCAGGAAGGCAGACAGAATGTGAACAGTCTCTCGCTGGGCAGACGGGACGCGAGCAGCCTCTCGCTGGGCAGACGGGACGCGAGCAGTCTCTCGCTGGAGAGACGGGACGCGAGCAGTCTCTCGCTGGGCAGAAGGGGCGTGAGCAGTCTCTCGCTGGGCAGACGGGACGTGAGCAGTCTCTCGCTGGGCAGACGGGACGTGAACAGTCTCTTGCTGGGCAGACGGGCATTTCCTCCTCCTTCTCCGTCCATGACGGTGAGAAGTGGGTCCTGAGCTGTCCCTCAATGGCCCAGGATCAAAGGGGGGCCAGGATGGAGCATGGTGTTGAACCACTTCTCGACCCTCTTGTCCTCCCTTACAACCTCTCCGGGTCCCACGAAAAATGAGCAGGCGAGTCCCCCGAAAGTCTCTCCTCTCCTGCTCCGTGGCTGGGGAAGAGAACCTACTTGCTGACTAAGTAATGTGCATGGGTGTCGTTGCTTCAGAGCGTCACATGTTCTCCGTGGTTCTTCCGGTAGTACGGAGGCGCGGTGAATTTAAAGGGACACTATGCAGTTATTTTAGCTTAATTTAACAGCTTCGGAGTTATTGAAATGGTTGTATGACTTCTTTCGGGTTAAATGGTGGGCGTCTCGACCCCCCCTGGTGCCTGTGAGCGGAAAAATCACACTTGCAACTTCGGTGCGGCGAGCCGCCGGCCTCAGCGTCAGGAAGTATCGCGTGATATCAGCTCTCGCGATGTAACATATTCCTTCACAGGAAAGACTGAAATGTATTGTTTTTGAAATCAAGTGACCAAAGCGCTCGTTGCCGATCAGTTTCAGTGGATTCAGTGGTCTGTTGTGACGCGCACTGTCTTCAAATGGACTCTTTACGGTGAAATCACAAAACCCAATGCACAAAAAAACATGTCCCTGCTTGAAATACAGCCACTAATAAACAATCGCTTTTGATAAGGAAAATAATCTATACTATTAGTAGGGATTAGAAGAACCCAGAACCTGTGACACACATGGCAAAAGTTCTTCCTCTGGACCATTATAGTTCATAGGGATATGTATTTAATCACATGAAAATTCTCACCACTAACAACATTTATTAGATCTCATTAAACGACAAATTAAACACAATGTATTGTATACTATGTAACACGTCACGCTCTCCGTGAGTGGTATTTACGACAGTAACGTTAAAAACAAGTACTCCACAGTTACTCTAGGGGTCGCTGTTTGACAGAAACAACATTCCTGCCTGGTGTCTCTTTAAATGTCCCTTGAAGGGTCAAGAACTGGTTGTTAAGCAGTTCTCGAATCACCAGTACAGAACCGAGAACTGTTCCTTTCGGACACGTTCGATACAGAGAACCGATGAGCTGGAGATACTGAGCATGCGTGATAGCACCGTCTCTGAACCAAACTTTTTTTTGGCCATCTGCATGCTGTCCTGATACATGAGCATGGATGAAACGAGGGCTTAAATGAGGGGCCGAATTCGGTGAAATGGAAGTTTATTTAATAACAAATAAAATAAAATTGATGAAAACCAGTTTATTCTCTTTAGATCTTTAAGACATGTGTAACGGAGACCAGCTAGTATTTGCTGTGAATTACACTTCAAATATAGTTTTTTTCCAAATATGGTTTCTGTCATTTACTGTAGTTTTTATCACGCTGATGTAAATTCAAGTGTTAGTTTTTAAAGGAGAACTCTGGCGGAAAATGAACCTTTGGTCTAATAATACATTGGTGCCTAGTTGACATTTCTCTGAGATTTGTTTTCATGATAATCAACTGTAAAGAGTTTTATCTCTAAAAACATTTTAGCGTATAACGCTAGTATATGGGGGCATTTAATAAGTAAAAAGAAATCGCTAGTTAGTACCACTTACAAGGCTCAAAATAGCCCCACACTAACACAGTAACATAATGAGGGTCCCTACATGCAAAACGAAGCATTAAGAACATTGTTAGTGTACAGACAGTTTAATAAGAAGATATTTTATAAAGACTGTACACTTTGTGTATCCTGGCAGGAGCCATCTTTGGAAAACAGTATTGACAAGTCGAACAAACACATGTCCGAATCCTGACACAAAACCAAAAGATAGATGTGACACCACATACCACCACATGTAACAAGGCACCTGACATCGACAGAGGAAATGTGTGAATTAGGTTAAACTGTGAAATGTATGATTAAAATTGCAAATACCTAGAAATATGTTACACCAGTTCATCTTTCGAGTACACTTGTAAAATCCGCAATGAAACTGAGGCTGAGCTCGAAATCTCAAATATCTTCCACAGCAAGCGACTATTTATTGTGCGAAATCGCTGTCAATCAAAAGAAGATGCAGTCCTCCGATCATCACACAGATGCATGCCCGGACTCCAGGTCAGCC